GCAACCCATTCTTTCTGAAACCAGGCAGAACTCAAACCAGTCTCCTCAAAATATAGTATTCCATGATGTGTGCCATCATTGTAAGCACACAACAAAACAGGACCATAACCAGGACTGGACCAGTCAGGTCACAGCTTTGTCTAACCCAGTTAGACAAATCTCTAAGGACAAAGATTCCCACCTCTCCTGCTCTGTTCCCAGGCTGCTTCATGCTCCCAAGATTTTTTTTACCACGTCCAACCTGAATCTCCCCGGGACCAAAAAGGGGGACATACCTTCCCTCTTGGGATTTCAAAAGAAAATATTTTGTAGCCCAAATAAAATTCAATCACAATAAAACAAGGCTTTGTTTGCTGAAGGAGGGGAGAAAACACTATTCATTTATCAAATTAGAGTGCTAAAGGCTTAACTACCTGTCTTTATAAAGAAGCCAAAGCACTGATCCATCACCAAACACAAACACACCACTTCTTCATCTTGATTTGTGTGGAGGCAAAGCTACGGGCACAGAAGGTATTCTTCTTCAAATAAAATCTATTTTAAAACTCGGCAGCCACTAGCATAAATACTTTACACCGTTAATGTAATGTAAGCATTTCCACACAGAAGTTTCATCAGCTTAACAACATATTTTAAAAAGCTGGCGTTAACTTCTGTGCAAAAACACCATCAGTCTCTGCCCTGTATATCTTAGAGTGCTCCAGCCACTAAATTACCACTTAGAGCTCTTAGCACCAGGCCCTCTCTTGGATTCTCTGATTTCTCTCAAGAACAATGCAGAACCCAAACTATTCTTCTGCAACTTATTTTCTTTAAAACTGGAAATAGCCACCGCTCTACAAGGATTACAAACAGAGTTGTACTGATTACAAATGATACTGTGGGCCCACCAATTTTAACTCAAGATAAGCATTCCCAACTTCACATATGGGTCTAACATTCAGCAGCTGATTTCTTCCTGCAAACAAGCTCCCATGAAGCTCCAACAGCCTAACTCCAAGATGTACATGTTGCCTCTCCAGCGAAAAGAAGGATCAGTAAGAGGGTAACACAATTTTAAATTTTCCAAACATGACTGCTCCTGCACCAGCGTTTGTGATTTTGCATCCTCAGTTTTCCAGACAGTCAGTACAATTAACACCAATTCCTTCAACACCACACAGCCTTGAGTCAGAGGTGTGCAATTTAATATTTAATTATGAATGAAGCAGCCAACCTCAAAATTAGGGCTGCCAGCTAAACTTCAGCCAGCTCCTTCCTGATGCAGCCCCAGCTTCTGACCGCTGGACCGTTCATGCTCCCTAAGCCACGGAGAGATGCTGTGCTTTCCCTGAACCAGCCTCTACATGTTAGTTTGTCATTGCGTTGTCCCAGACCAGAGGTTGTCACGTCCCTCTAAAGCTTCTTCAGCTTTTCTCCACCTGCCTGCTCTGTGAACCCCATCATGAAGTGCTGGCTGTGCGTTTTAGGGAGAGCTGCCCTCCCATGTGTCCAGAGAGGCTGCCAGTGTGTGGGCACAGGCACAAGGACTCTCCTGGTGATTCCTACCAGCCTGGAGAACCACATCACCCACCCTTCTCGTTAGAACCACCAACACTTGTGAAATGCGGTGAGCTTAGTCAGCCCAGCACTGTGGAAATTAAAGCTTGGAGCCAGCTTCTTTAAAAAAAACAACAACAACACCCTGTGTATATCAAAGCCCACGCTGAGAAATTTCTCCATCCGAGCCCAGCAGCTCCACCACCACCACTCCTCAAAATCCAACAACTGGAGACTTCACCCACCACCACGTGTCCTCTAAACACCATCACCCAGGCTTCCTCTTCAATACTATCCACTTCATGGAATGGGCCAAACCCCAAAACAACTGGCAGAACTAACGTAAATCTCTGTTTGTCTGGTTTTCAGGAGAGATGAAGGCAGAGCTGCTGGCAGGTAACACCATATGCTCTTCTCTTCCAACCACAGAAGAAGGCAAAGGCAAGGCCTGCGAGAGCGCTGCTCTCTGATGCTTTAGGAGTAGGACGGGAGCGCCTTCCCACACAGAACTAAAGAGAGAGCACAAGAAACCCACCCCACCAAAAGACACAACCAAACCACCAAGCACCAAATTTCCAACTTTTTCAGAGGCTGCGTTTTCCTGGAGCGCTCGAAAAGCAGGCTGCAGGCGGTTCTCAGGCACAGGTTTAATTTCTGCTCTCCAGCTCCGAGGAACGCTGTCCCGGCGTGTCGGAAGAAGGTTAATGAACGATTTAGCCGCCCTCACAACCACGTTAGTGTCACTTTCGGAAGCTGCGAGTTAATGCCCGAGATCTTCGGGGGTTGCCCTCTTTGAAGTTCACTGATCCATAACCAATGTCCAATTAATTTGCAGGAGCCTAACGATAATGACTATTGGCCTTTTCCGACGCATACAAAAACACAGTGGGTAACAGCGATGCTTTTGGCTTCAGGGTATTCTCAAATCTGCCTGCACATTTGCGCACCTTCAAAAATATCCAGCGCTAATAACGGGTTGTCTTCTGCCGTTTGAGGAATTTTTACATTTGTTCTCCCGAGAGCAGAGCTACTGCATCAACATTTATGAACTTTCTGCTGAAAAAAAACCTGGAGCTGATTCAAGATGCTCATTTGCTAACAGAGGAATACTTCTATTGCATTTGCTTAGATTCTTCTTTATTTAGGGTTTCCATGGAAGCCAAGGAATAGAAGTTCAATCTTGGGAAGATTAAACAGGCCCTGAGATATAATGCAAAACAGCTTATTTCAACATTCCCCAAAGAAGAGAAATGAGAAATTCTTCCACACATATGCCAAAAAAAAAAAAAAAAGATTTGTGGAAATTTTCAAAATAAATTGGGACCCAGCTTTTCAAATGCTGCATGCAGCCATTGCTTCCTGCTGCAAACAGCTTCCCCAGCTTCCAGCACACTTCCTCAGGTGAGAAAGTAAATGAACAAGAAGTCTGCAGGATAAAGATGCTACAGCTTAAAAATCAGCTTGTTCAAGACAGCTATTGCTGTACAACATCCAGGAAGAAGGTTAATTCAACCACAAGGTCTTGCTCAAAGAGCAACAATCACCTCATAAATTAGTATCTCAGCAGTTTTTGGAATAAAAAAAATGCAGAGATTATGCAGTTCAGCAGCATCTTCCATGGCTCTGGACACCACAGAAGCTGACAGACCAACATTTAAAAAATAAAATAAATCCCTTATGTTCAGCTACTTCAGGCTGAGAAGTGACTCCTGTTCCAGTGAGAATGGCAAACATTTCCTTGCCTCTCTACCCCACAGGTCAACAGAGTGTCAGTAGCCACAATGACAGGCACTACAGGACACTACAAATTAATAGCCACGCATTTTCTCTGATCTCCATCCTCCAGGTAAAGATTTATTTCACGTTGTTCCAATCTCCTATGAAAATGTCCAGGACTGATGAACTTTACTTCAAAACATTTCTACTTCACAGCACATTTCTTAAACCATTTTCCAACCTGATAGAGATATATTCAGATAATGAGTAAAGTGCATCTTTTTCTTGAAGCTGGAACTAAACAGCTCAGTGTCTTGCACAGGATTTCCTACCTGGTCTGGTAAGGAAACTAAACACAGCTGACCCTCAAGTAAGTTATTTTCAATCTTAACACAATTATTGCTTAAATAAAAAGATAGTTAAATCATAGACTTTTCTAATCCTTCATTTATGGTGAGCACCCAACTGCTCAGTGAAATGCACTTCAAGACACATTCAAGGTTTTTATTAATTCCCTGGGAAAGTCCCAAGACACCAGGATATTTTTTTCTGACTCCTGATTAAAACAGCAGGAGCCCACATGAATTCCCTTTTTTCCCCCCTCCCCAAGAGTTTCACATACAACATCCCCTCCTCAAAATCCGTAAGAAAACAAGAATCAAACCGAGAACATTTTGCCAGCTGAAAGGCACTGAGACCTCGCGTGGGGCGGGATGCGCTTCCAGCTGCCAGCCTAAAGGGATGGCCGAGGGAGATTAAACACAGAAATGCTTTTCATAAAGCAGGAGGCTTTGAAGAGGACAGTTCAGCTACTTCATTTCGTAATCTTCACAAAGCGTCAGATTTTAGCCTAAGCAGGTCTTAAAACAAGGAGATTTTATTTAAAAAGGGGGGGAAAAAAAAAAGTTGGAATGTGTTCTGGCCGGGTTCTGTTGATTCAGCAAGGGTTAGACACACACATGCTTATTGATCCCAGAGAGCTCCCTGCTAAGTTAATTGTCTGGAATTTTAACTGAGCTCTCAGCAAGTTTCAAAATCCATGTTGGCTGGAAGTGGGTGGGGGACCCAGAAAAAAACAGGCTGCAGAACTGTGCAAGTACTACAGTTAAAAAAAAACAGCAATTACTTTCATGAAGGGAAGAGCTTCAGCAGGGCATGGTTTTTAACTGGATTTGGGGATTCTGACTCTGACTGCTAGAATTCAGTGCTGGAAATCTCGTATGCAAAGCATTACCATTATCAGGGAGCACCATCAATGCTGCTTCACTCCTACCCACACCACCAAGGTGAGGGTGTCTATCTCCTGTGAGCTCCCAGTTGTGGCTCAATTTCTACACAGGAAGTGTCACCACCAGCTGTACCTGCCCATATTACAGTACCTGAATACTGACCCTCTGCTGGTGCAGGCTATGGCAAACCTGGCACTGCAGCTCACCCAGCCACCTGCACGTGCACGAGGGCTGCCCATGGCTTTGGACTGCCCACCAAGCCCTACCTGCCTCCAGAACACCTCCAGCAGCAGTTTCTCCAGGTGAAGAACATGCTGCAGGGATTATCTGCAACTATCAGACAGGAACAGCTAGAGACACCTTTAGAACAACCTGTGATTAGTTTCAAACAAAGCTTTGCATTCCATCAAACCATTCGGCAAAGCCATCCCGAACCAGTGTGGATGCTCCTCAGCACCTATGGTCTTCCAAGGCTTCCCATGGCCATGGGAGCCCCCCAACCCATTCCCCACCTACCTGAACTCCCTGCCCTCGCTGTAGCGCCGGGCCGGGGCCGCGCGTTGCGTGGCCGTCTCCAGAAGCAGCTTCTGCGTGAGCCTGCTGGAAGGCGCCGAGTCCCTGCTGGCCTCGGGCTCGGCCTCTTGGTCACACTTCCACTCCTCATCCTCATTCAGAGTTGGCAGATAACCAGGTAGCCCTTTACCTGTCCCAGACCCTGAGCTCGGATCACTATAAATTTTTGGACTTTCCCCACCTGTCCTTGTGTATTCCAAATAAATATCCGACTTAAGGAACAAAGGGTAGGTATTGTCTTCTATCATGCACTGAATCTCTGTTTGGGCCTGGTCAAACATGTCAGGGTCAATCTGCAGTTTCATGACACAGTCTTTGATGAAGCTTTTTGTGGCCGGTTTGATCTGCCGGGACACAATGCCATTGTTGTCGAGGATGTATTTTTTGTAAATGGCTTTTGCCAGCTTGAGTCTTTTTTCCTCATTAGAGACACACGGCTCCAGCTTCCTGAAGCCACTGCACGCAAACCAAAAGTCCAGCAGATCTGCACAGTCCTCCTGTTTTAGGAAAGTCCTGAAGAGGTTGATTCCATCTTGATCATCCAGCAAGGAGTGCAGTGACTCGGCCCACTTCAGGTAGGGTGGAGTTGGCGAAGCACTCCCCTCGGGCTCGTACCCCAAATCCAAATCAGAGCGCCTCGGTGTCGCTGTGGACGTCTCACTTCTGACCACATCACTTTTACCAGAGTAGAAACCATGGCTAACTGGCCTTGGGTCTGTGGACACGAGCTCCCCCTCCTCACCAGGAACCGGTGGCCTTGGAGCATCTTCAGTGAAGCTTCCTCCAAGGTCCAAGGGGAAGCCTTTCCCCTGGATATTCATTTTTCTGGTCCTTGCTTGCGTGGGAACAGTGGGGGATGAGCGCCAATCTCAAATCAATATTTGTAGCTCCAAGGTGAACAAGTTTGTTCGGCTGAAAGAAATGAGGAAAAAATAAGCGAGTATCACTGGAGATAAACACTCTAAAACAACAAAATAGTGGTTATGCTCTGCATCTTTACTGTACTAACACCTCTTTTTCAGCATAATCAATGGTTTGGTAACTTCTGGGAACACAGAATCGAGCTCAAAACAGGCAGAGGCTAAAAATGACAGTTACAGGATATCCCAAAACTTTACATCCAGAATTTGGCATCACTGATACAGCTGACACTATGCTAAAACACCAGCCAATTTCCCAACATCAGTGGTTTATACATGATCCTGGCACATGGCAGCCCACATCCAAGAGATCCATACTCAGGTACCACAGGACACATGCCATCTTCTGCACTGCCACCAGCTCCTCTGCACTGCCTACCTGGACAGGACATATACCAGATCATATTAAGGCAACAAGTTTTTATCTGCCTATGGATCTAGGAAATTCTTATCATTAAACAGGAATTTAAGGCTTGTGAAAATTATTTTTAAAGAACATCCAGTTAGTCCTGAAAGCAGGGCTGCACCTTAATCAAACACAGGTGGCTTTCGTACACTCAAGTGACATACCAGCGCCACATTCCTCACAAATCTCTGCGTTTCAGAAATACGCCGCGTCGCCTCGTCTAGCTCTAGGGGAATCCAGATGCATCGTTGACCCTAATATTTTGGGCATCTGGACTGCATTCTTGCTTCAGATGGGCATGTTAGTACAGGAGCTCAGTTCTAGCACTGCTTTTTGTAGGCAAGCCGTTGAGAAAAGGTTCATTTTTATGCTAACAAAATTGCATGCTACGAGCCTGGGAAAATTTCAGGTCATCAAAGGAAGATGAGAAAACCACCTTGACAAGGAAACCTGATCAAGTACGATGTTTTTAAAGAGAAGCAACGAGTCAATATGGAGGATGGAAGGTATGGGGAAGGCAGGGAAGGAAGAAAAGGGCAATCCCTGGGTTGCTACTTCTGCGGCTCAAATTAACCTCATCATTTAAAGCGAGTAGCAAAAGCCTTGTGTTACAGAACAGCCTCAGCCTCTAAGCCCCAAGTACTGCAGAGCACCAGCAGCCTCACAAATTACTCCTTCCACTGGATTAACTCAATTGCATGTAAAAACACACCAAGAAAGACGCATTCTAGCTCGCCCTCCCTCTCAAAGCAAACCCGACAGTAACGAACATCTTCGGGATGCTTTACCATTTCCCCCCCATTTCCTGATCCTGGCTAAACCACGAACCGCCGCCGATGCCGTGCCTGTCCTTACAGCCCACCTGTCCATCGTTAAACAACCCAGCGAGCCCAGGAGCGGCCAGCGAGGATGGCTGGGCCCCTCGAGGAGCGCGGCAGGAGCCAGCGCCGCGCTCACACCCGGCCCGAGCCCCCGGCACGCAGCCCCTGCCCTGGCACCGCGGGACTTTGGCACCACGGGGCAGTTCTGGGTGGTTTTCACCCCGCTTCTGGAAACGAGAGCGGGACTCGCCCTCTCGTTTGCGGTGCAGGTCCCCGGTGACCCCCGGCCGGGTGAAGGGGACCCCCGGGGCAGCGGCACCGCAGCCCCACAGCCACGCCGGGCATTGTTCCGGCGGGGCGGCGCTGGCTCCTCGCCCCGGCCGGGGCAGCCCCGGGGAGCCTCCCGGAGGACACGCGAGGCGCCCGGCCGAGCCGCCCGGCCGGCTCCGGAGGGCACCCGCGGCCGGCCCGCGGGAGGCGCGGGGCCGGGTGGGCTCCGGGGCGGCCCCGCCGCTGACAGGACGCCGCGCGGGGCCCCCGCCGTCCCCCGGGCAACTTCGCGGGACCCGGCCCGCGCCGCCCCCCCGCCGCCGCCCCCGGCCCCGCTCACCCTCCCGGCCGCCCGGCCTTCCCCCGCGCCCGGGGCGGCCTAGCCCGGCTCGGCGGCCCCGGCGCGGCCCCGCGCTCCCGCCCGCGGCGGCCTCGGCGCGGCCTCGGCGCAGGGCCTGGGCCGGGGCCGCCTCACTCACCCGCGCGGAGCGGCGGCGGCGGCCCGGGGCGGCGCGGGG